AAGCCCACCAATGATGACTGTCACGAAGGCGTCTTCAGAGATTGACCCTCCGCATCGAAGCAGCTTGTCGCGTAGTTCGCGACATCGGCTGATATACGCCAGTCCTTTTTCTCCTGGTTTCATTTCAACTGTCGTCAACTGCGCCATTAACCTGCTCTGGTTTACACTGTCTGTTGCTTGATACAGGTTCTTCAGATGGCTGTACGCGAGCTCCGCCGAGTTGCCGAAGGTCCGGTAAGAGCGAATGTTCTGCTGCTGAGTTGGTGTCACGTTCCTCAATAGGATTGTATACGCCATCATTGATTGATACGTATACTGCTGCTTTTCATATTGTGTCCCGTTGGCTGGATACTGCAGGGACCCGTCGAAGAAGCCGAGTATCTGCGCGCCCTCCATCATCAGCTCGAATTCAAAGGACCAGGTAAAGAAGTCTTTGCCGTCGAAGGGTCTTGACGTTTGCAGTTTTAAGACGTGTGCAAACTGCGACTGAACTTGAAGTGCGTCCAGTGGTCTTTCTTGTCCAGGTGAAGGTTGCGGGTGGGGCACGAAGCTGATTGACCCGCGCTCGTACGGAGCAAAGGTAGGTTGCTGCTGCTGGTTTCCTCGCGCATATGACGACCCATCAAGACTCATGGGTGTCGCTCCATTGTTGCTGTTGTGTGTTTGTGCAGGTCTCGACTGCTGGTGTTGTTCGTAGAAGGACATGAAGGAGAAAAATTTCTCCATCATGTTCTGGTCAAAGTCCGAAGGGTGGTTCATGGGGGTTTCGGTTGACGTTCCTCTTGGTCTTGTTGCCGTGCCTTCTTCTGTCTGCAGGCCAGAGGCTGGCGGTGGAGTAGGAGTAGTGCCCGAGGAGCCATTAGGGGAGCTCCTTTCCTTGTTTGTTGCCATGTCTTGTAATGATCTTGAAAAAGGAGTAGAGTTTCCCTTGTCAGCTCTCATACCATGTTGGGCTGAGATAGCCCCTTAGGATCTTTGCAAGGGATAACTTTAGGTGAAGTAGTTGTAATAGCGGAAGCGTTTAGTGAAGAATTTGAACCGACCTTGCACTGGTGTGTGAGAGCAAAGTTGATTGAATTAAACAAGCAAATACAAGGATTTATATAAGAGTACAGGGAATACGAATAGATATGTAGATAACTGTATTGCTGTTGCGGTTCGATACAGTGCGACTCGGGCAACTGCTCTGTAGCGAGTCAGTTGTGTGTCCTTAACTGTCGCGCTGTAATTGTCGAGTCAAAGGTCAGCGACCTTTGACTTTCTCGTAACCTCCAGGCGGTTACCCTAACCTCCGAGGTTGACTCGATGCTCCGATTGGGACTGCTTCGCTTGGTGCCTTGGGTTTTGATACGACAGAAGCGCACTTAGGACTTATTGTTTCCAACAGTGCCAACCCCTGTAGTCTAGCTCACTACCGTTGTAGAGTTAATCTCCACACAACCTACCCGTTACTGTAGAGGCGATGCAACCTGATTGGTCGAAGCTGCACTCACTGCAAAAAACTTCAACTTTCTCAACTCGGAAATTTGGAACTCGAGGTCCCCAGACATACTTTTCCCCGGGAAGGTTGCTGACTCGGCGAATAAACAAGTGTTGCAGCGAAACCAGACAAGCCACTGCTCTCGACTTTTGAGCTCACAACCCCCACCCACCAGCACATACTGAGCTGCCTACAGAACAATCAGGGTAAACAATTTACTTGCGCTGATGCCTCTTGGTAAAATTTCCAAAACTTCAAGCTACACTGATCCATTAGTGTTTCCAGAACGGGCACACTGCTCAGAAGGCATCAATCGGGAGTAAGCGAAATCCAAAACTAAGCCCTAGAAAACAAGAACTTGGGAGGCCTTATAATCGACTCTAGCTCTTGTACCATGTTGAAATCGAGAGGCCGTTAGAGTAACGGAAATACTCTAGCAATTAAGAACGTCCTTGTGGCGAAGCTATGGTCACTCAAAGGTAGATGTCCCGGCTTGTAACGTGGTGCCAAAGCGGCGGCCGAGGGTAGGCCGAACATACGCTTGGGAATTGTGTAATAATAACAAGGCATTACATTCTGTAATATCTCAAAGGCATAAGGAAACGGTTACCGTGGCGCAACTGTATAACAGTTGTGCTGTGTCGCTTGAGTTGCCCCGTTAGAGTCGCGCTGGAGCCTGGCGAGATCCTTCAGCTTCGCCAAGGGCGCGGTATTCTTCCGCGCCCTGCAAGGCGGTTTCGTGTTACAGTACGAACTGCCCAGTGCACTCGCGACTCTTCAGCTGAAACGAGGACGCAACCACTGTAAGCGGTTGCGCCCTTGTAGCTCGATAGTCCTGCACCCTCGCTCTGGCGAGGCTCGCTGGCATACCTCGAACATTGTACTTCATAATAAAAATTACAGCATATTCGCAACAAAAGACACTCTGATTTTGTCTGTTAAGTATTACTGTATATACGGTACTGTAAGTCGAACATCTCTGTATGTTCTCTTACTTTTTATAAAGTGATGCATGAGGCGGCTTCTGTGTTCAGTATACCAGAATCTACAATAGAGTGATAGAGGGTGTATGCACTTGAACATTGCTGTGCAGGCACAGCCACAGTATGACGGGCTCACCTCACTCCATATGTCATCCAAAAACAATTTTGCGAGATAGTGCTGAATCCTAAGCCGATGACTAAGGTTCCGAACATTATCTGGAACGAAACGATATTGTACAAGATTCGTGCCATCCCATCCCACATCGCATATCTCCCACGCACGTGGAATTGGAGATCGAACTTCTCTTCTGGGATAACGGTCCATAGAGTGTGTCACTTTGAAACGTGGGAACAGTTCATGGGGCACCCCTTGAAATTATTGGCTCTAGGAACAGTTTGGCCTTCCAGTTTCCCCCAGCACATGGCTATCCACTTTCTCCACCCGCCTCTCCCCAGCCATTACAGGAGCGCCAGCCATCCTCCAGGGCGCCTTCCGCGCCAGCATCTCCCCCGTCTACATACAGTGTGCAGCATCTCCCCAGAATTGAGGCCGTATCTTAAGGCGGGTAGTGGAGTGGTTCATACGTATCGGTTTTCAGTCTGATGAGTAGCTGTTCAAAGCGGTGAAACAGACAAACCACTCTCAGAAATACTGAGGGCGTGTCTTGCAAGGTGTAGTTTTGCTATCTACATAATTTTCAAGTATTTCTGAGTGTTCACAAAACTGCTGCCCGCACGTACAGAAATTGATATGTGTCCGCCTGACGCGAATCCACTTTCTGCACGCGGAAAAACATTCCACACTTATGGTAGCCGAACAGAGTACAAGCCTGACCACACTGTCGCGAGCGGTAACCATGCCGCCTACGAAACTCGTGTAAATACGGCGGGTTTGGCAATGTGGTGCGGCTCCAGATTGTTTGCGAGCCTCGATAATTTCGCAGTGGGTTGTTCTCGCGAATTCAAAAGTTCGGTTAACACTTGGTGCAAACCCCGAAATGGACCTGTACTACCCTGTACAAGCGTGCATGGCACGTACGGCTCACGAACTTGGACACGTCAAAAAGCGTATGCGAGAAGGAATCAAGGGGCGCCTGTCTGGTTGGTATAGTATTGCATTTGTAGCAGGATGTTATCGGGTAACAGGAAATATAAATGATGTATTTCCAAGAAGCAAGACACGCCCTGAACATTGAATGAACACCTTCGGAGTGCACACCTCCTTGGGAGACCACAATGACAGAGCAGTGACCCCCCTCGAACTCGCAGGCAGAGCAGATTCACGCGTGGGTTGAGCTGTTCGCGCTCCTTGCATTGCCCCTCCGCAATCTTTGTCCACTGGACGAGAAAATTAGAAGGCGTTCTCACAGTTTCCCGACAAGAAAGGCTGCCCACGCGGCTCGAATTTCGACCACCAAGTTTCCCATCAAATTCGTCGTGCGAGTGTTCATCCACAGCCGTATACGATCTCATCTGACGGCCCACGACGCTTACCGAAATGGGCTACGACCCCACCCGCGATTTTGTGTCATTGCCCGAAGTTCAGCTGCCCAGTTTCTAAGTCAACGCCATTCAATAGCAGAAATGGTTCAGTGCGCCTCTGAATGCTTTGTTTTCAAATTTTCGGGCACCGTTTTACGCGGGAGTCAGAAATCCCAACCAAATCGCTGAGTCCATCCGATTGTCAGACGTGGAGGCCTATTGGGTGCGACTAGATTATTTACGTGAGTGCTGGTCAGAAGGTCGCAATTTGGTCGTAACTGCTCGCAAGGACGCGGTGTCCTGAGTGGGGCAGTACCCCACTCTGACCACCATCGGCGTCGGGAAACTGTGGGAACGCCATCTCACTCTGTGCGGTCGAGAGATGCGGAACTCATGGTACGATTCTCCCTCACGCCCAAATTCACTCTGACTGAGCTACCAGCCCAGTGCCCCCGCAGCTCCACCGTTCACCTCCATGATTTGAATCACTGCTAGCTGTGGGGCACTGGAGGATTGGCCTGATGGCAGAAAGGCAACGGAGGCGAGGACAGGCTGTTGCTGCTAACATTGCTGCTGGTTGGCTTGTAACTGCGCCGACGTGGAGATTGGTACGGAACCCGATTGGTACGATGGCGACGAGAGGAGTTTTGGGCCAACTACACACCAGGCGGCCCCACTCGTCGCCCCTCGCTCGCCACGAGGCGAGTCGACTCGACCCTTTTCGAGGAATTTCAGCCAATCGCCAAGATTCGCCTGACAGATACTGCTTGCGTTCCCGGGCACGATGACGACGCGGGAGGTTCTGATTATCGAAGTCGGATCGACAAGGTGTTGCAGCTGACCATTGCGGAACGATAAGTGTTGAACACCAGTGACCCGCAGAGCGAAGTAGTTGCGATTAGAAGTGAGGACGAACACTCGCAGTAAGCACCAAACCAGGCACGAGGTATCTTCTAGACCCCCGCCCACGGACGAGCAGCGACGGCAGCGGAAGCAGCGGCGGCAGCGGAAGCAGCGGCGGCAGCGGAAGCAGCGGCGGCAGCGTCGCAGCAGCCATGGCGGTCAAACCGGAGCGCTGCAGAGCCTACTTGGGGCTGAGCATTGGGCTTGCCGATGAAGGCGGCGGCTTGGGGTGGGCGGTCGGCGGCGGTATCTACGACGCCCGCGACTCCCGCGACAAACGCAACGCCCGCCGCGACGGCAACGACGCCGGTGTTGCGGGCCCGCGTTTCCAGCCACCTCCACCGCAAGCGCAATCTGGCAGCGCGAGCCGCGTCGTTGTCGAGACGCCTCACTGCGACGGGTCTTCGTCAGACGGAGAAAATAGTAATAACCCGGTTTTGAGACGTCTCCAAGTAACGCGCTCCGCCGCTCAAGCTCACCCCGTCCCTACACTTGCGCCCGCGCCGCGCGGTGTATCGCGCGAGGCGGCGTGCGCAAGCCCGCCGGCGGTTGCTGCGTCACGGCATGGTGGAGCCGGCTGCGGCGTGGCCACGTCAGCCGCAGCGCGCGCCGCCTCGTCTAGCAACGGCGCAAGCGACGGCGCGGTGGCGACGACAGTCGCAGCGACGGCGACCGCGGAAGGTCCCAGCTCTCGCGGTCTCCCAGGGCTTGCTTGTACTACCCTTAATGTCGCCGACGCGGCGCCACCTGCTGACGCTATGGACCTAGGCTCGCTACTAGTGCGCGGCGGAAAAGACGTGCCGCGCTCTCCCCGCCCCCCTCCCGGCAGCCCCTCCGGTTTCCGCCGCGCTCACCACTTCCGATCCGCGTCGGTCGGCGGATTCATTACTCACGCAGCGGACGGCGGAGTGGACAGCGCAGATTACACTCTCCCGCCGCTTTCGCCGCAGCCCCCGCGGCGCATTCCGGCGGCGGCGGCGCTGTTCTCAGCGTCCGCGGACGGCGGAAGACACTTACAACTCCTGCGCGACGCAACTCCCGGAATTGCGCCCGCCGCCGCGAGTGTCTCCCCGCCCCGCGGCCCCCCCGCCTCCCCTCTTTCCGCCGTTGCGGGACGGTTCGCGGGCAACGGGGGCCGCGGCAGTGCTGCGGCGGAGAGTCAACCCCGCGCGCAGGAAGGCGGAGAGGAGAGCGAGGGAGAGGGCGAGTCGAGCGCATGGGAGTGGGAATCGGAATCCGAGTCGGAGTTGGAGTGGGAGGAGTTCGTGGTGGTGGCGCGTGCGCTGGGCGGACACGATGCGCGAGGGATCACGGACAATACGAGCAACGCACAGCAGCAGCAAGCTCCTGGCAGCCCAATCAGCAAGCAGCAGCAACTGCTTGGTACCGCTCCCGGTCGCCCCCGGCAGAGGAAAATCGCCTCTTCTCCCTCCGCCGAATTTCCTGCTGCCGTGTTGCTCCGCTCCTCCCGCCGCGCCTCTGTATCCCCTCCGCCCGTCTCCCCCATGCGCTCCTCCCCGCGGCACGCGAGCGCTGTCTTCCCCCGAAGCTGGTCCGCTGGCGCGCCTGACGCGGCGGACGCGCCTGACGCGCCCCCCGCGCGGCTGCCACGCTCCACTCTTTCCGCGCACGTATCGCCGCCCCCACATCAGCGGCAGCAGCAGCAGCAGCGGCGCTCGAGGCAGCGGCCGGAGATGCACTCAACAGCATCAGCGGTAACAACAGCAGACGCAGAAGCAGCAGCGTGCGCCCCTCACCAACGTGCTCCGCCCCTGGATGAGACGGTCACATGGGGACCCGCAGGCGCCGGTGGGGGAGTTAGACGCGGTGCTGGAGAAGGCTCTGCGCAGCTTCCAGTCGCAAGAACTGAGAGCCTCCGTTCGGGTGGTGCTTTCCCCGGCAGACTGCCGGAGAACAGAATGCCTGGTGGTAGTAACCAGGGTGCTCGCAGTAACCAGTCGAATCCCGGTAACTGGACGGAGCGAGGCAACCAGCCGATTCGTGGTAACCAGTTTCCTGGTGGCACTGTCGCTGCTGGCGCAAGCAGGCATAAAAGGAGCCACTCCGACTCGTATGCCTTTCACACTGCCACCTTCACCAAGACGCCTCTTCCCAACAGTATCCACGCCTTCGTCGCTGCTGCAGACTCACACGTGCGCGCCTCTGCTACCTCTGCCACTCCTCCTGCTTCCGCTTCAGCACAAGCAAGCTTGAGTCCCACGGATGGTCCTATGGGCACCCTAGCGAGCAGCAGTAGCAGCAGCAGCAGCAGCAACAGGGGCGGGGCCCTTATGCCCACTGGGAGGGCCAGGAGCAAGCACGAGCAAACTGCAGGTGCCCCTGCCCCTGCCACTGCAGCTTTTGCCTCACTCCCTGCCACATTCCCTACTGCTGGTATTCATCCCAAGCCCCCCACACCGTCTCCTCTTGCAGTGGCTGCTCATACGGGGTTTCCACCACCACCACCACCCCTTCACGCTGCTGCTTCTGGTGTTACCGGTGTGAATGGTGCTACCGGTGGTGGTGGTGGTGCCGCTGCTGCTGCTGCTGCTGGCGCTGTCGGAAGTAGGCACAGAAGGAGCCGCTCCGATTCCCTTGCCTTCAGCAGCGCCACCTTCACCAAGACACCTCTCCCGAGCAGTATCTACATCCCTGCTGCTCCTGCTCCTGCTGCTCTTGCTGCTGCTTCTTCCACTGCAGGCTCACATGCCAGTGCGGCTGCTGCCCCTGTCATCCCTGCTGCAGCGCCTGCTGCTTCCGCTGCAGCACGGGCAAGGCTGGGTCCTGCGGAAGGGCCAATGAGCACACTGCTGATCAGCAGCAGCAGGAGCGGTTCGCTCATGATCAGTGGACGCGCCAGGAGCAAGTGGGAGCAAGCTGCAGCTGCACACAGTGTCAGCAGCAGCGCTGGGACAACCCACCAAGGGCTCCAGGAAGGGCTGCTCAAACACGTGCTACAGGGGGGGCGGCAGCCGCACACCAACGACTGCTTTCCTCGGTCCGCCAGTGTTGGTTATTATTCGGGCCCTGGTGCTGCTGTTTCTGCTGCTGCTCGTGCTGCTCCTACAGGTGTTGCTGGTGCTGCTTCTGCCGATGCTCTTGCCAGCCGGTCACCTTTTCCTGGTTCGATCCACGCGCCTGACAGCAAAGCTGCAGCTCCCCAGAATCTTTCCTCACCTACAAAGCCCCACCTTCCGCACCTCGTGAAGGCTGGAAGGAGCGTGAATGGCAACAGCGGCAGCAGCGGCAGCGGCAGTGGCAGTGGCAGCAGGAGCGGTCCCAGGAGCAGTAGTGCCGTCAGGGTTGATGTTGCTAACGGCAGCACACAGAGAGCTGGAGCTGCTGCTGGTATCAAGCCTTGTGACAGTGACAGTGACCCGGGAAGTAATAGCGACTGCAGCCGCGTCAGCTGTAGCAGCAGCAGCAGCGGCACATGCACCCCCACTGCAACAAATGCCGCTGCTGCCACCGGTTCTTGGAACCACCAATCTACCAACAGCACCTCAGCCTGTCAACCTAGTGCGTCCAGCAAGCATGACTCCCATGGGACGCCGCTAGCAACTGTCTTGAGCCGCGTGCTGGCCCACCTGCAGTACCCACGCTCTTCCTCTGATCCCACGGCTGCGCCTTCAGGAAGGCTCGCATCGGACCGGTTTCATGGGGGAATGAGGCATGGAGTTGACACCAACTGCATGGAGAGCAGCTCTGAGGAGGATGAGGATGAGGATGAGGATGAGGAAGAGGATGAGGATGAGGAGGAAAGGAGAGTAGGCAGCTGTGGTGCTGAGGAGGGTATGTCTGCAGGTCGGCGCAACAGACAAGCGCTGCCAGCCAGAGCTCATCTCCCTCAAGCCTCCCATCCCCTCAAACCTCGCTCCCCTTCCGTGTCCTCCAGTCAAGCAACCCGCCATGCTCACCAAACTGCCCTCCATTTCGGACATAGCCTGCCTAAAAGCGATCATGTGCCTGGCAGCAGTGGGAACGGCAGCGGCAGCGGCAGCAGCTGCAGAGGAAGTAGCAGCGTGCGGAGGGCTGGAGAGCAGTGCAACAGCAAGAGCAGCTCACCAGCAGGGTCGGTCAGCAGCTCACCAAAATCCTCCCCACGCGGCTCTGCTAGTTCCTCACCCGCTCGCTCCCCTCGGGCGTCTGCTGGGGGGGGATCAACAGGAGCTTATGTGCGGCGTGCCCCGCACATTGGGAGGAGCCCCTTGAGCCCTCTCAGTGGCACAAGCGCTGCTGGTGTTGCCGGTGAGGGTGACACCGGTGGGCGAGTGGAGGAGGGAGTGACGGGCGACGCACGGCCGAGGAGGAAAGATGGGAAAATGGGAGGCAGGAGGAGGAGGGCGGAGAGCTGGGGAAGTATGGAGGGTGCTTATTATGTGAGGGAAGGATGGGGAGGAGCTTATGTGGGATCACCGGCGTTGGGACCTGCGCAACCTTCACAGGCACATGATGAACCAGAGTATTGCATTTAGGGTTAGCCCTCCCAATTGATTCTTGCAGGGCACGCACACTTGATTTCTTTTTTTTTTTGCACTGCTGATTGCACCTTTAACACTGAAACATCAGTGTCAGTCTGTAGCGTTTCCAGTAGTCGGTCATTGTTTGAGAGGCCATGCAATCGGAGCCTTGACAAGGTGATTCGGCATTTCTCAAGTGCTTTTTTATCAGCCTTAACGTATTTTGTACTGATTATAGCCAGGACCTCAAGTACTGGAAATTGTGGTCAACTGCAAAACACTTGACGGCTGGTTACCATGTTATTTGCACCTGTTATGAATGAACTTGCAGAGTGTTAGAATAGTAGCTAGGAGGTAGGGTTTGGGAAGAGAGATAGTTGGCCGAAGAAGCGGGGTTGCACTATTGGATGAGAGAACTGTTGGGAACAAACAGTCGTAAGCGCTTCAGTCGTGTTGAAACTCCAAGACACAAGCGAAGCAGCGCAAACCGAAGCACCAGCGAGTCAACCCTCGGAAGTTGATGTAACCGCTGGAGGTTACACGAAAGTCAAAGGTCAGCGACCTTTGACCTGACAAATGCAGCGCGACAGCAAGGACACACAACTGACTCGACATTGAGCAGTTGCCCGAGTCGCACTGTATCGAACCGCAACAGTAAAGTAGTTATAATTATGTCTCTTCATATTCTCTGTATTCTTATACCGTCATACCCCGGATATAAGCGCCACCCTCGGATAAGCGCCTGGCGCTTTTAATTGGCGTGTGGCGCTTATATCCCCTGCTCGATTATAAGCGCACCCCCTGAAAAAACTTGTTTTATTATAAGCGCACGTAAACTTATTTTTTTGAAATGTGTTCAAAACACTTTAACGATTTCTACTTTAGCAGGCAGATGTTTTGCAGATTCGGTTCCCTTCACATTCGGACCCTGCACTGGATTCGGGTCCAGTCAGCAGGAGCTGTCATGAGTTGTCAGGAGCTGGATGTGAGTAAGATTGGGTGTACCTCCCTGCGCGCGAGAATTTCACAGACGACCCCATGTAACTTCGTCTCGATTGAAAAGGCAAGCACGAGATCTACAGCATGGTGTTAAAAAATATATAAAAACATATATGTCATTTTATAAACGCCGGCACTTATAAATTTACCCGATTATAAGCCCACCCCCCTAAAAAAACCTGCTTTATTATTGCCCCCCATGGGGGTATATCCGGGGTATGACGGCATATTCTTGTATCTCTTTGCTTTAAAGCCCGAGTACAGCATGGTATTTTTCATGTTCAAGATTCTTGAACTTGAAGTCGCCAAAAACAGGGTTACCCTCTCTGGTTTGAAACACAACTCGCGAGGCTGGGAAAAACTCTTGCGATGGTTGATCCTGATTGGTTTCTGAGCTCAGTCGCACAACCCATCCGACCATCGCCCACTCGGTTGCCCCGATCTCCTCTCACATATCTTGAAAACCAACTAGTACTCCTAGTTCACTAGGAGACTCACGTAACTAGTGAACGCGTGGCAGGGCAATAAAGGATAGCTTAGGTAGAGGCGTTTTTTGTTGAACAACACTACTTACACACGCAGTCTTGCCAATAGCTGAGCAGCAGGTCATGCGTTCCGTACCATTTTCGTTGGCCCGACACGGAACGTCCGTACTAGCGCTCGACACGCAAATGTACGTCAATGACATGCGTTGCTACACTTGCCCATTATAAAAATGCGTGGTGGGCGGGTTAAACATGTTAGATTCGCTGTCGAGCGTTGCGCACACTTCTTCACGTCGCCCACACTTGCTCGGGTCACGCTATCTTCTAGTAGTCACCCGCGCTTCCCTTCGTCGCCCCCGCTCCCCACCGTCCCGCGCTTCCCTACGTCGCCCACGCTGCCCCTCGTCACACCCGCTTCCTTACTCAACACTCGCTTCCCCTTGTCGAGTGTTCTAGAAAGCGACCCACAGCGTCGGAAAGTGCAACAACTCAAGCATCCCCAATCCAACCCGTCGTCGCACGCGCTTCTCCTCGACGCCCCCGCCTTTTTACTGGGCGCGCGCTTCTCATCGCCCCCGCCTCTTTATTTCGCGCGCGTTCTCCTAATCGCTCCTGCCTCTTTATTTCGTGCGTGCTTCCCCATACCCGTCATAATCCCCTCCATATAGGATTCCCCCCTAATAACCAACCTTTGTCCGCTCTCTCTCTCTTTCTCCCTCCATCTCTCCCTCTCCCCTCTCTTTTCTCTCCCTCCGTCCCTCCCTACCTTGCTCGTGACCTTTCTTCCTCTGTCCCCCTCTCCCTCTCCCTCTCTTCCCTCACCCCCTCCCTCTCTTTCTCCCTCTCCCTCCCTCTCTCTCTCTCACTCACTCTCTCTCTCTCTCCCTCTCTCTCTCTCTCTCTCTCTCCCTCTCTCTCTCTCTCTCTCTCTCTCTCTCTCTCTCTCTCTCTCTCTCTCTCTCTCTATCTCTCTCGCGCTTCCTCCTTCCTTCCCATCCTCTCTCTCGCTCCTTCCTTCCCACGGACAGAAGGGGAAGGACAAGGGGGGGAGGGGGGAGGACAGAAGGGGAGACACAGAGGGGGGAGGACAAAGGGGGAGAGACACAGGGTAAGGATGGAGGGGGAGGAACAGAGGGGGAGGGGCAGAGAGTGAGAGACAGAGGATGAGAGGAACCCTCCGCCCTGCTTCCCCCCACCCCCTTCCCTGTTTCCCCCCATCCCCTTCCCTGCTTCCCCCCATCCCCCTCCCTGTTTCCCCCCATCCCCTTCCCTGCTTCCCCCCATCCCCCTCCCTGTTTCCCCCCACCCCCTTCCCTGCTTCCCCCATCCCCCTCCCTGTTTCCCCCCATCCCCGTCCCTGCTTCCCCCCATCCCCCTCCCTGTTTCCCCCCATCCCCTTCCCTGCTTCCCCCAATCCCCCTCCCTGTTTCCCCCCATCCCATTCCTTGCTTCCCCCCATCCCCCTCCTTGTTTCCCCCCATCTCTCTCTCTCTCTCTCTCTCTCTCTCTCTCTCTCTCTCTCTCTCTCTCTCTCTCTCTCTCTCTCTCCTTGCACCCACACTCTCTATCTCCTTCCTCCCGCATTCTCACTCTCCTTCCTCCCACACACACACTCTCTCAGTCCTCTTGCCCTCTCACTCTCCTTCCCCCCACCCTCTGCCCTGTTCCCACCTGCCCTCCCAATCCCTGCCTTTCCCTCCCTGCCCTGCCATTCCCTTCCCCATCCCTTCTCAACCCTTCCCTTCCTTTTCATGCCCTCCCCTTCCCCCTCACTCCTCGCCTTCCGCCCTCTAGTTCCCATGCATGTGCACCCATCACTGTCTCCCCATGCATGCTTTCTTCAGCGCTTGCTTGTATCGCCTTGAGGTTGTTCCCTTTCATCTCACACCACCTCCCCCATGTTTCTTCACACAGTTCTCTGCCTACTCCACTCCCCTAAATTTCAGTGGCGAAACAGAGGAGCAAGATGAGGCACAGCTAGTCGATGATTTACACCATACCACCGCCTGTTTCTTGTGTGTTGTATGCAAGCATGGTATGAGAATACTGTTGGAGATATCCATGCCAAAGGCACAATATGTACTTTTGTTTCTACAGTGCAATATAATCTTCCTAAATGCATCGACGCTATTGATTGTACCTTTCTCAAGGCCCTGAGAAAAACATGAGGGGAACTAGTTTCTCTTCGAGCATGGCATGGGATGATGGGCTGAGGCGAGTTGCAATATCAGAAAAATCTTCAGTGTAGTCACTGCAATAGCGAGGAAGAGGGAGACAACATGAGGGTTTGGGAGGGGCAGCAGCGGGGGAAATGAGGGGAGGTGGGGGGGGGAATGAGGGGAAGCAGGGGGGGGAATGAGGGGAAGCAGGGGGGGGAATGAGGGGAAGCAGGAGGGGAAACGAGGGGAAAGAGATTGGGAAGTCCAGGGAAGCAGAGGGGGGAATTGAGGAGAAGCAGGGGTAGAAATGAGGGGAAGCAGCGGGGGAAATGAGGGGAAGCAGGTACAAACAGGGAAAGCAGGGATGGAAATAATGAGAAGCAGGGAAGGAAATGAGGGGCAGCAGTGGCGGAAATGAGGGGAAGCAGGTACAAACAGGGAAAGCAGGGATGGAAATAATGAGAAGCAGGGAAGGAAATGAGGGGCAGCAGTGGCGGAAATGAGGGGAAGCAGGTACAAACAGGGAAAGCAGGGATGGAAATAATGAGAAGCAGGGAAGGAAATGAGGGGCAGCAGTGGCGGAAATGAGGGGAAGCAGGTACAAACAGGGAAAGCAGGGAGGGAATGATGAGGAGCAGGGAGGGAAATGAGGGGCAGCAGCGGGGGAAATGAGGGGAGGTGGGGGGCAGAATGAGGGGAAGCAGGGGGGGAAATGAGGGGAACCAGGAGGGTACAAATAGGGAAAGTGGGGAGGGAAATGAGGTGAAGCAGGGAGGGAAATGAGTGGCAGCAGCAGGGGAAATGAGGGGAAGCAGGGGGGGAAATGAGGGGAAGAAAAGGGGTAAAGTAAATGAGGGGAAGCAAGGGAGGAAAGGCGGGACAGAGAGGTAAGGGGGGAGTGCGGAAGAGAGGAAGGGTGCAAGTGAGGAGATTGGATGAGGGAGGGAACAAGGGGCTAGAAGGGAGGGAAGAGGGGGCTAGCATGGGAGAAGCAAGGGGCTAGGGGGGGGGGGGGGGGGGGGGGGTAAACGAGGGGATAGGAGAGGGGAAGAGGAGGAGATAGGAAGAGGGGGTGGAGGAGAAAAGGGGAGAGAAGGATTCCGGGGGATAGGGAAGATGGGCGAGGGAGGGGAGGAGATTGGACGAGGGAGGAGAGGGGAGGGAGGGGATTGGACGAGGGGAGGGAGGGGATTGGACGAGGGAGGAGAGGGAAGGGAGGAGAGGAACAGCGGCAAGCAGCTGGGGAAAATGAAGGAGAGGAGAGGGAGAAAGGAGGGGAAGCAGGGGGGGAACGGAGGGGGAGCAGGGGGGGAAAGGAGGGGAAGGAAGGGGGGAAAGGAGGGGGGGGCAGGGGGGGAAAGGACGGCAAGCAAGGGTGGAAAGGAGAGGGAGCAGGGAGGGATAAGAGGGAGCAGGGAGGGAAAGGAGGGGACGCAAGGGGGCAAAGGAGGGGAAGCAGGGAATTAAAGGAGGGGATGCAAGGGGGGAAAGGAGGAGAAGGAAGGGGGGAAAGGAGGAGAAGGAAGGGGGGAAAGGAGGAGAAGGAAGGGGGGAAAGGAGGGCAATCAGGGGAGGAAAGGAGGGGAAGCAGGAGTGGAAAGGAGGGGAAGCAGGGGGGAAAAGGAGAGGAAGCAAGGGAGGAAAGGAGGCGAAGGAAGGGGGGAAAGGAGGGGAATTAGGGAATTCGCGCCTCATCTCTTTCCTCGTCATCCCCTTCCGCGCCTCATCTCTTTCCTCGTCATCCCCTTCCGCGCCTCATCCCCTTCCGCGCCTCATCCCCTTCCGCGCCTCATCCCCTTCCGCGCGTCATCCCTTCCCGTGCCTCATCCCCTTCCGCGCGTTTTCCCCTTCCGCGCGTTATCCCCTTCCGTGCATTATTCCGCTATATCTGTGAGCAGCGCACGCCTGCGCGATGAGGAGCGGCAGCGCGCCAATGCGGCTGCCGCAGATCACGTCACAAGCGGAGCATCTCTCCTGTCGCACGCCAAGCCCCCGATTTTCTTTCCCCCCTTTTCCCCCTCCACCCCCAGTATCTGCTCCTCTCCCCCGCCATTCGGTGTTGCGTCTGCCGCAAGTTGCGCCAGCGGACAGCTCTCCCATCGCGCAATCAGAACCGATTTCTCCCGCCCACGCAATTTTTCTTCCGCCTCTCCCCTCCCTCTCCGCCTTCCGCAGTCTTCGTGTCGAGTCGTCGCAGTACTCCCATATCGCACTGTTTCGCCCTCTTATCAACACTCCTTCCATCGACCCCACATGTACAAGTTCTGGCACGTCACCTATGTTTGAACTCTCTGTTGTGGTTAGCTACTGCGGTTATTTCACACGTGAAGTGGTTAGCTTGTTCGATCGTGGTGTTTCCTTCTGGGGTGGTTGGTGCTTTCTGTTTTCGTTTTTGCTGGAAGCTGGATTGTGCGAGGACATTCTCCCCTACTTGATCCTGATTGGCTGGCCAACAACCCTAGCGACACTCATTCCAGTCGCAACTCTTTGCTTTGCAAAGCTGCACAGTATCGTTCACCATCACGTCACGTTTGGCGAGACTCCTTTCCCCTTCGTCAACCCATCTTTTTCTCGCTACACTGACTTTGCCGAAATTCTTGTTTTCAAGGTTTCGCCAACACCATTTCAAACCCACATAACTTGATATTTTACCATGCTGACCTCGGGCTTTAAACAACCTACTTTGCCCTCACATACTAGCGCAAGTTGGTTCAAGGAATTTACTAAAAACGCTTCCGCTACTAAATCATTTATCCAGACTTTAACTCTACCAAAGATCCTAGGGCATTCAGCCCAACATGGTATGAGAGCAGGTTAGACTTTTTTTTTTTTGGGTTGCGAAGCAACCTATTACAATCGTTATGTACATTTTTTTTTCAATCCTCTATACTTTAAAAAATAGAGGATGGAAAAAATATAGTGAACGGTACTAGCTAAGTGACAGACTGCTATGTATTTGCAGCGTTAATTTACCACGTGCTGAACCACATTCCTTCTCATTTCCTAGTTTACTTTGACTGAACCTATATTTCATGATTTGCCAAAATGATGTACTGTAAACGCGTAACTGTTTATTCTGTGATGCATATGTCTGATGACGTTATGCGTAGATGAAGTAAATGCAAATGCATAAGTATAATGCATATACTACTGGTAATGAAATAAATGCATAGCATGATGGAAATGCGTAACAGTTAATTGACGCAGACCCTATGCTACCGCATCCCCTGCCTAGCATGGGGGGAAGCTCAATAGCATAATTTCTGAACCATCCAACTGTTACATGAAACAACACAATCTGTATGATCTAAAAAACGGGTCAATTCTACCAAATCCAGCTCGAATGGACACTCACTGAGTGCGCAAAGAACCTTCTCGGAAATGATAGTTTGATCCCAATTTTTAAAACCCACAGACATGTGTTGTTAATGCAGTGGAAGCATGAATGAAAACGCATACGCACACAACGCAACACATACACATGATCATACACATTCACACATACACGCACGCACGAAGCCAACTGACAAAGCATATTAACCGCAGATGAAATAGAAACCTAAATCACCAAGACATTATGTATCCTATACTGTAAGTCACAAGCAATATCAGTCTACTTCTCATATTGAGCTCGACTGCCTGGAAAGTAAGACAAAGCTGGGTTGAGGAAGGGAAGGCAAATGGGAAATAACAAGGCATAATGAAATTACGAGAGAGAGAGAGAACAAGAGAGAGAACGAGAGAGAGAGAGAGAGAGAGAGAGAGAGAGGGAGAGAGAGAGAGAGAGAGAGAGAGAGAGAGAGAGAGAGAGAGAGGAAACGGGAGAGAGAGAACGAGAGAGAGAGAGAGAGAGAGAGAGAGAGAACGAACGAGAGAGAGAAAGAGAGAACGAGAGAGAGAACGAACGTGAGAGAGAGAGAGAACGAGAGAGATAGAACGAGATAGAGAACGAGAGAGAGAACGAGAGAGAAAGAGAGAACGAGAGACAGAAAACGAGAGAAAGAGAGAGAACGAGAGAGAGAGAGAGAGAACGAGAGAACGAGAGAGAGATGTCAGTAGAGCTACACTGTGAGATCCCCGATCGATCCTAAGGGGGGTTACAGGCGCGTTTGCCTGGGGGGTTATGGGCGCACTGACCCGCTACTGAAACAAGCCCTTTTATCCCAATGGTCTAGTGGTTGGGATTCTGGCATGGTATCAGAGCGGTCTCGGGTTCGAATCCCGGTGTATGCACATGTTGGCCGTTGCCATTGTGCTCAGTCCTGGGCCTCCCAGTGTGGGGGGGTGTCAGTAGAGCTACACTGTGAGATCCCCGATCGATCCTAAGGGGGTTTACAGGCGCGTTTGCCTGGGGGGTTATGGGCGCACTGATCCGCTACTGAAACAAGCCCTTTTATCCCAATAGTCTAGTGGTTGGGATTCTGACAAGAGAGAGAGAGAGAGAGAGAGAGAGAGAGAGAGAGAGAGAGAGAGAGAGAGAGAGAGAGAGAGAGAGAGAGAGAGAGAGAGAGAACGAGAGAGAGGAGAGAGAAAGAGAACGAGAGAGAGAGAACGAGCGAGAGGGAGAACGAGAGAGAGAGAACGAGAGAGTGAGAACGAGAGAGTGAGAACGAGAAAGAACGAACGAGAATCAGGAGATACACACTTGAACATCAATGAATAAAGTTGGAATCAAGTACATACGACTTACAAACCTCATACTAATCTGCTGCTGCCTATAAAGAAATGGTAAGGAAGAGCCATAGAAAGTGGACGGGAGAAAACTACATGAACAAAAAAAAAACGGTAGTTTAGATGAAACCAAAATGAAGATTACAAGGCCCCTGCAGATTCTAACAAACAAACAGAAGCTTTTCTTTCGTTCTCTAGCACGCTTTCGTTCTCGCTTTCTCTATCGCTACTCTACTGCTCTCACATGCTCTCCCCCTCTCTCTTTCCCAAGATGATGGTCAAACACAAACTCACCGTTAATAAGAGGAGGGAGTGAGGCAACAATGTGCTTGACCGTTCCTGGAAGCAGATGGTGGGATATAGAAGCAAATCAAATAGCTACAAAAGACTTCAACCGATTATGGCTTCAAAATGAACCTATGTACTAGATAAAAAAATGGAGACCTTACTAATTAGCATTTAAGCCGGAATGGGTTGCAATATTTCAAAACGACGTAGGAGTATGAGTTGTGGCCCTTGAGAACAAACGAATGAGAACGACGTCCTGCTAGGTCGAAAAATGCTTCAAAACGAGATAATCAACAAGAAAGAATTGATGCGGGTTTATCAATAACTTGAATAGTACTTCGAGATGAGAAGTAGATGTTTAGGCTGAGACATTAATCTGCTAACTAGGTTCTAGCTGGCGGCTTTAGTCTCTGACCTTGGTAGGCTGAGGGTGAGTAGCAGGAGCCAAACAGAACGACGAGAGGAAGAAAGAGGAAGAAATGGAACCAAACCCTAACCCAACTCACGCGCAATCCTATCTCAATAGTAATAAATTGAATAATTAATACCGGTCATGTAGCGTAGTTGTGTCGAAGTTACATGATTAACCGTGAGGTCTTAGTTCCGATTCCTGGTGCGCTGTCTTGGTTTCGATTCCTGGCGCGCTCTTGTCACCACGGTCTTCCCCTTGCGCAGCAAGGGTGAGGTCACTGAGGTGCTGATCGACTGGATCCGCGCAGCTCGTCTTCAGCTCAGGCAGAGCTTTGGCTCCGACTTTCCTGTGTTGCGTCTGCACTCGGACAGAGGCGGAGAGTTCTCCTCTGGCCTTCCGCGTGCCTACTGTCGTGCGCGAGGCATCCGCCAGTCCTTCACGCTTCCGGACTCCCCGCAGCAAAATGGGATTGCTGAGCGCCGCATTGGCATGGTCATGGACGTCGCCCGTACGTCCATGATGCATGCGGCTGCCCCCCATTTTCTGTGGCCGTTTGCGGTCAGGTACGCCGCGCATCAGATCAACCTCCACCCCAGGGTCTCCAGGCCGGAGACCTCCCCAGCCCTGCTGTGGACGGGGAAGGTTGGTGATGCGTCGGCGTTCCGGGTCTGGGGATCTCGGGCGTTTGTCCGCGACTTGTCTGCGGACAAGCTGTCCCCTCGCGCTGCTCCTTGCGTCTTCCTGGGGTTCCCCCCCGACGCCCCTGGGTGGCAGTTCTACCACCCCAACTCTCGACGTGTTCTGTCCTCCCAGGACGTCACGTTCGACGAGTCGGTACCCTACTACCGCCTCTTCCCCTACCGCACTCCGTCCCTCCCCCCACCCCCGCTCTTCTTGGTACCAGGTCCCCCCCCGGTAGATCCCCTCCCCCCTCAGGGTCCTGCCCCTTCAGGTGTGTCCCAGGTAGACGCGGTCGAGCCTGTCGAGGTCACTGGTGACTCTGGTGCTGCTGCGGGAGCTGAGCCTTGGAGTGCGGAGCCTGGGGGTGCGGAGCCTGGGGGTGCTGTGCCTGGGGGTGCTGTGCCGGGGGGTGCGGAGCCTGGGGGTGCGGAGACTGGGGGTGCTGAGCCTGGGGGTGCTGAGCCTGGAGGTGCCGAGCCTGGGGGTGCTGAGCCTGGGGGTGCTGAGCCTGGGGGTGCTGAGCCTGGGGGTGCTGTGCCTGGGGGTGCTTCGTCTCGCCGGGAGCCACTCTCCCCACAGGAGCTGCGTGAGTGGTTTGCCAGGCGCTGGAGGCGTGCTGCTGGTGCTGGTGGTTCTTCGGCTG